CCAATTAAGTCTGAGCATGGGATTAAGTTGAGGGGAGAACAATATTTTCTTGTTTGATGACTGTGTCAGACAGCGGGTCAGGGTAACAGCGTTAACATCTTCGAGTAGATGAATGTCCTTCAGGCCTGGGTTTTCGTGGTTAGCCACGTGTGAGAGTGGGATGTATGAAATGTTGAGCTCTTTCAGCTGGTCTCTGCTCAGTGGACGGGCATCCAAAAAGGCATAGAACAGGGCCAGCTTCCAACCAGTGAGGTTCAAAATAAGGTGACGGGTGAGTTTAACACATGGTATCAGACAACTTCAAAATTTGTTCTGCACCAATTGCTTAGCTGTAATGGCCACCAATGACTCAGAGGGGTTATCTGTCGAGGCCGTGATAGGGAAGGACTTACGGTCATTCTGATCCTTGAAGACCAGGGTCATTGGACCCTGGTTGGATGATACACAAAAGATTGACTCGACATGCTTGAAGATCGACTCACCTTTCTCCAGGGTCGTAACTCCAGGGCCTTCACTTAATGATAGAGTTTTAGGATAGGCCTCCTCTGTGGCCTTTGAGGCAGGTGCTACTTCTTCCTGTTGGTGGTCTGCCTTTTAGCCATCAGAAGAATTGTAGCGTGTAGGGATTTCTTTCCCAAACTTTGTTTTCCTTGCTCGCTTGTTTGACGATTTCTTTCGTTTATTTGCTTTTGAGGAAGCAGTCCGTGCGCCGTCTTCCAACGTCATAAGGGCCAGGGGGTTCCCTTCTTCAGTAATCCCAATCTCCATCGCATCTTCATTTAAATCATTGTTGTTCTCTGCGATCCCAATTGATGGCTGATCATTCTGTTCAAATTCAATCTGAACGCCATCGTCTCCTTTGGACTTATGGAGGTCCTTAAGGATTCTTGGGGCAGCTCTCTCCGCCTAATCGTCGTCGGTTGAGATCCTGAGTCTGCTTGTCGGGTGCCAGGCTTGGCCCAGATGGGAGAAGGTGTCATACAGTTTGTTGGTGAAAGTCGTGGTGTAGGATGAAATCGGAGGAGGAGGGGGTTGGTGCTCCCTGCTCCTGTACTGAGAAGTGCGGCTGTCACGTGCCCTGTTGTGTGGTGAAGGTTTATGGCGAGGACGCCTGACTCGAGGATCTCTAAGTTGCTCTTGTTCTCCCAAGGGGTTTGCTTGCTCTTTGTTTCGAGCTGCATCTCTGCACTCTTCGTCATAATGAAACCACCATCTGCAATGGGAGCAGTAAGGGGTGGACGCATTAACCACATCAACAACTACCGATTCCTCGTCCGACAGTTCTATTGTTAGGGATTGGTGGAAGGAAAACCACACAGATGACTCAAGATCGAAACGAACATTTGCAATAGAAGGCTCATTCTTATCTGGTTGGTAGTCATGCATTTTCAAGATCTTCCCCATAGTCTTCTCAATTTGGAATCGGAGATGGAAAATTGCCATCACCGACACATTCAAACAGCGAATCCAGAAAAACTTGAATTTCATTGATTCTTCAAGTTGTTCCATTTCATTGGGTGGGAGGTAGGGGCGAAATTCAACACGGTAAGTTTCGTTTTCAAACTCAATCGTATCATTTCCCACACTCTTCATCCAATTTGCGTGTTGTTTCGACCCTGTGATGTAAGTCGCAAGATTTTTCCCTTCATGAATGAAGCAGCCTCTCTTATAATTTTTCGATATAAGCCTAACTTAGAAAACAGAGGAGTTTAGACGAGGGGGGTCCAAGACGGCGGCAGCAAGTTTAACGCTAATTTTAGCTGCGCTAATCGTAGCGTTAACCTCACGATCGTTTGCACTAACCCTAATTAGCGTAGCGCTCTCATGCCTTGTTTACACGGAGATCGTCGTTGACCGCGAGATACACATCCTTTGAGTAACAGGTCACGCTCGCACCATCGTGTAGATGGCCTTCCCCCGTGAATAGCGGGTGAGCGAGATGTCTGTTCCCCCCCACTCGCTCGTGTGCTATTGCTAGGATCTCAACGAATGTTACTGATTGGAAGAACGCTCGGAGTTTCGTCTACTATTATCACTCTTTGCTCGACCGTCTCTGTGCCAGGCTACGGGACAAGCTCTCATCAACCTTGACGATAAAATTTTATTCCCTCTCTCTCACCATAGTGGTTTGGTTGCAGGCAATAGGACCAAAACTCACTGAGGCTTCTAGTTAAACCGTCAAAACCCTATTTGGGATCGTATTTGTGAAAGTTGAACACCATGGACGACGGAGCCGAGGCGGAAGTCCCGACCTCGCCGCCCATTGACCCAGCAGCGCGGGTACGGGAGTTGCTTGAAGCGTGCTTTCTGGACGGGCAACTGCCCGAAGGGCTCCATCACGGTGAAATTGACCAGGGGCCGCATCATTCAAGATTGAGATTGGACCCCCAGATAAGAGCGATACAGGAGGAATGGCTGAGCGAACGGGCAGTGCTTCTGGTCTTCGAGAACGAAACCGGAACCCTGTTCGTTCCTGTATCAAAACAGATTGTATGAGTTTATGAGGCAACGTCCATTCAATTTTTTCGCGGTAGAACGCTGACCTCCTTCAACCACCCTCCGAGTAATGACTTTTGCAGGCGGGCTGGGAACTATACGGGATCGTATGGTGAATTTGGAGGGCGCCATCTGACAACTATAAGGTGGTTTCCGAAGGTACATTTCGGATAGTAAGGGTCTCGCCGCACGATACACGAAACGAAAACGAAACGAGTGCATCTGCCCACGAAAGGTGGCAAAATACACTCGTTACTATTCATAGCAAAACCATGAACCTGGCCATTTTCTGCAGGAAGATGCACTCGTTCGTTTTTTCGTTTCGTGTCCCGTTTGGCGACGCCCTAAGTGGAGCCGTGTCCCACTATCTGAAATCGTACAGCAGATAGCAGTGGAGCGAGACCCACGAGACCCATACTCCCAATGCCTGCACCGAACTGGGTAGAGGTCCCAGTCCCTTTTCGGGGTTGTTTGTGGGTAGGAAAAAAAAAAAAAAGAATTACTATGATCTGGGGCACGGTTCAACTAGCACACGAGTCATGGCCTATTTGGACCTGTGCGGCACTGTAAGAAAAGGAAGAAAAGTAATGTTAAAGACTTACAAAAAAGAAAAATGGTGACGGTACATTTCCCAAGATGGGAAGAAGTCAGACTTTTGAAAGTGCAGCCGTCCCACTAACCCTCCCGTCTCCACCCTCTCCTCCCCACCCAGCCAATACCTAATCAGGACAGAGTGGTACGTGACTGTTGCAGTCTCGCATACCACCTCGAGGGAGCTTCGTGTGCCTGATGTGACTCCCTCCTCTGACGGTTGCCATGCTGAAGCGTGCATTTCGTATATTTTGAGAGAATCCTACTGGATGGGGTTAACAATTGACCCGGAAAAAGAAGGGGGTCAAAATTATGCCCTACCAGTACTTGATTTTTTTTAATCTTTTGAAGAGCTGCCAATTAAAATGAGTCTTTCTATTTTCTTTTCCCGCCTCTATCTTGGGAACTGGAAAGAAAAAGCACAAAAAAAGGAAAAAAAAAAACACCACTTCAGAATATAAATCCCTCGCAATTTTGCTGCCATCCCATTCTCCTGCATCAGTGGTCGGACGATGTCCCGCAGATGTCCCAAAGGTGTTTGTGGGACACGGCTTACCTTACTCCTTTGCTAGTGGAACCGTGCCCCTGGTCATCTGATCGTATGTGGATTCGAACTTGGGTCTTCATGGGTGTGTACCAACTGGAGGGGAAAAAAAAAAACAAAAAACTTTAATCTAGTTATCTTTATGCGGATTCGAACTTGGGTCGGCATGGGTGTACCAACAGGCCCATTGTTTTTTTATTTTTATTTTTTTATTTAAATTTTGTGAGTGTGCCCCCCCCCGCCACAATTTCGGAACTCAGGAAGCCGCAAGGCTTGCATTCACATCGGGAAGCTTTTGAACGGAATCTGGGCATGATAACGGTCGTATACGTCCTAGGAACTCCTGATGTGAGTAGACCTTTGCGCCTTTTGAAAGATTGTTTTGGATCTCCTTCGCCGGCCAATGACGCCGCGGTGGCCGCGCGCTTTCCGGCCGCGCGTCTGGCATTTCACTTTTTTTTTTTTTTTTCTTTTATCGCATTTCACTTTTGTCTCGGCGCACTTTCCGATGGAACTACCCCCCGCCGCCCATGTGGCGGAACGGTGCGCACATGTAGCTCTTTGTTCTTTTTTTTTTTGAAACTGCTTTTTCTTTGTCTTTTGTGCTTTTTCTTTTTCTTTTGTACTTTTTCGTTTTCTTTTGTAGTTTTTCGTTCAGCAAGCACCACGTCAAGAGTTCGAACTGGACGTAGGCGAGTCAGGGCGTACTACCGGTAGCACCACCACTCTTTACCTTAAATGCATTTGACCGTATTTAGGGCGGACCTGGATGTATGTGGTCGCAGTCACGTCCACAAAAAAACAAACAAACGAAAGCAGTCCCGGTGGGAGTGGAAGCTCGTGCGGGAACCCTTTTGGTCCTCCTTTTTTTTTTTTTTAAACTGCACTGTTTCATATTCTGTTTTTTCTTTTTTTTTTTGGTTTTCCTTTCGCGGGGATATCCGTTATATGCCACTAGCAAAGAGGATTGGATTAATCAGCTGAATCTGGACGGTTTTTGCGCAGAGATGCAGGAGAGCAGATCAATCGTGTATGTTCTGCATCTCTCCACAAACACGTCCAGATTCAGGTATGAAATCCGAAATTCCTCTTAGTAAAAAAAGAAAAAACATGATGAAAAATTAAAACAAAATCAGTATGGAAAAAAAAAAAAAAAAAAAAAGAAAGAAAGAAAAAAAACGAAAAAAAAAGGAAAAAAAGGAAAAAGGGAGGTAAGTCACTGACTTTCCCTTTCCGTTGGGACTTGCGCGTGCGGGGACCTTTCTGGGATATCTTCAGCTTTGATATCCCTGGGTTGGGACTTGCTATGCAGTGCCCAGAAGTAACTGTATGCGGACGCGCAAGCGCAAGCGCGCGGTCGCGGGCGCACCGCGGCGCGGAGATCGCTAGCAAGCGCGGCGCGCACGAGCGCACGAACGCACGAGCATGGTGGGTGGCGGACGTTCATTCTGGCTATGGACGACTTAGTCAGTCATGATGAAGGGCCCAGGCGTCGGAACGGTGGAGTTGATATATTTCACTAACTATTCACTGTCACTTAGGCTGTCCTCGGCCTTGCCATAGCCCAAAGCTCGGTCTTGGCTTGTTGGCTGCTCATGCAATTCACATGCCATCCCCACTCTCATCTTCCTTGTTACCTTTCGCTTCCTCGGAGTCCGTCTTCTTCCTCCTCGTCTATCTTCCTCTCTTGTGTTCTCCTCCTCTTCTTCTTCTTCTTCTTCTTCTTCGTTTTCTTTCTTCCTGTTCTTGTTCTTGTTCTTGTTCTTGTTCTTCTCTCTCTCTTCTTCTTCTTCTTCTTCTTCTTCTGTCGATTCTTGTAGAAGAAGCAGGCTATAGCGACTGTGCTTTTGACTATTCTTCTTCTTGCTCCTCTTCATCTTCCTCTTTCCTTCTTGCTCTTCTACCTTGCTGTTCCTTCTTGCTCTTCTTCCTTGCTGTTCCTTCTTGCTCTTCTTCCTTCCTCTTCCTTGTCTTTGTCTTCGTTCCGTCGTCTTGCTCGTTTTCACTATTCCTCTTGTTCTTCCTCTCTTTCTTCCATCGCGCTACCTCTTCTTTGCTCCTCTGTCTTTGCCTGCCTTTCTCTTCTTTCTTGTTCTTGTTCAGCCATATCTGCAGCGCGAGAGCTTTGTACACGCATTTTGCGTTTTTTTTTGTTTTTTGTTTTTCTCTGAGGTGGTAAAAGGGGAAAAAAAGAAACTAACAATCGATAGAATTCGTCCCCTCGTGTCGGCGAGATGTAAGCTCGGTAAAAAAAAAAAGAAAAAAGAAAAAAAAAGTGAGCTGGGTATTTTTTAAAAAGTACGGCATAGTCTTGTAAAAAAAAAAAAAAGTACAAAAAAAAGTACGGTATTTTAAAAAATTAACCAGTTCTAGCAGCATTGTGCGGGAATTTGGAGGAAAAAAAAACGAGAGGAAAAGGACAGGAGGAAGAGGAGGGAGGAGGACGAAGACGAGATAGGG